ATCAAGTGGAGGAGTTCAAGTATCTCGGGGTTTTGTTCATGAGTGAGGGAGAAATGGAGCGTGAGATTGACAGACGGACTGTTGCAGCGTCAGTAGTATTGTGGACTCTGCACTGGTCCGTTGTGGTGAAGAGGGAGCTGAGCTGTAAGGCAAAGCTCTCTGTTTACTAGTCGGTCTACGTTCCTACCCTCACCTATGGTCAAGAGCTGAAGGGTAGCTGGACTCTCCCTTAGAGACAGGGTGAAAGTTCAATTATCCTGGAGAAACTCTGAGTAGAGTCGCTGCTCGTCCACATTGAAAGGAGCCAGTTGAGTTGGTTCGGGCATCTGGTAAGGATGCCCCCTGGGCGCCTCCCTAGGGAGGTGCTTTGGGCATGTCTGACTGGGAGGAGACCCCAGAGAAGACCCAGGATATGCTGGAGAGACTAGGTCTCTCGGTTGGCCTGGGAACATCTTGAAGTCCTCCCAGAAGAGCTGGAAGAGGTGGCTGTGGAAAGAGATGTCTGGGCCTCCCTGCTTAAGCTGCTGCCCCCGAGACCTGACTTTGGAACAAGCAGAAGATGATGAACGGACGGACTAGGATTTAGTTCAGGTGTGGGTGGACCCAGATGTTCTGACAAACAGAAGTGTTCAGACTCGTCCATTTGTAGGTCTGTTATAATCAGATATGTCTGCTGGCATCAACGTGACCTGAACAAACGTCCCGTCTGTCTGAGTGAGTACAAGTGAATGAGTTGCAGTCTCTGCTTCTAAATCCAGGCTTGACCATCGTTGATTTCTGTCCGATGATGGTTTTTAATCTGAAAGAAGTCTCTACAGTAGGAGTCTTCATCTAAAATTCATCAAGGTCCGCCTCAAGAAATCTTTCTCTCACAAAGGTCTAGCATGTGGACATTTAAACTCTCTTTTAATGACAGACATGCTGGCTTTCTTCTCAACATATGATCGTTTCAGAAACCACGGGCAGACCTGGGAATTACTGTAAATACTAAAAAAGCTGGCTGCATAAAATAACTTTTCATGAATTATAGAAAAGCTACGCTGTGTAAAAGGAGTTGCAGAGGACATGTTCCCTCAGTGAGGACTGAACTAGGCAAAAGGGCCTTCTCCTACTCCGCTCCTGTTTCCTGGAATATCTAACAAAAAGATTTGAAGCTCTCGACCTTGACCTCTCTAAGTGGCTTTAAGAATCTGTTGGACTCCTGGCAGGGACCAATGCAGACATGTTCCTGTTTTTAGTTTTCTACATTCGCCTTAGAATCTAGCTGTTTTTTTGTTACTTTTTTGTCATCTTATTTGTTAAAAAAAAAATCTGTATGCCTTTTTATAACTGTCCATTGTTGTCATCATTCTTTGTTGAAATCAGGTCTCTCTTGTAAATGAGTCCTCGAGGCTCAAGGGGATTAACCTGTCTAAATAAAGGTTGAATGAATGTGGCCAGATAATTGATTAAACTACATATAAACTATTTAATTCTACTGACTCTTAAGAACACTGATCCAGAAAAGATTGTATTTGGGTCCAGATCTAGACCTCTGTCCACCTTCTGGGAACCCCTGCTCTATAGGATGGACTGTGATGTTGAAGTAAAAAAAATACAAACGTGTGTGTGTGTGTGTGTGTGTGTGTGTTCAGGTTGGGGAGATTCTGACGGATATCCTTCAGAAGGAGTGATGACATCAGATGCGCTCTTCGTCTATGATTGGCTGAAACAGAGGACAGACAAATCTCTGCCGCTTTATATTTGGGGCCATTCTCTGGGGACTGGGTAACTCACACACACGCGCACGTGCACACACACACACACACAAACTAAACTTTTATCATGAGTTTGTGTCAAACTGAATCTAAAAGTTTCTGTTTGTCATCACAAAGATACAAACTAATGGGATTGTTCTGTTTTCCAGTGTTGCCACAAACCTGGTGAGACGTCTGTGTGACAGAGGTTAGAGACACGCACACACACGTACACACACACACACACACACACACTGATACAGGTGTGCACTCTGCTTCCCCCTGCTGGCAGAACCCGGCTGCCTTCAGACTGAGTGCAACTCGATCCGATGACTTCTGGGGAAAACAGAGTTAAAATACTTCAACCTGAAGTTCAAGATCTGAGTTCTGGCCCATAAAATCACTAAAACCTGATTTTGTTGTTTTCTTCAGGAAGTCCTCCTGACTCTCTGATCTTAGAGTCTCCGTTCACCAACATCAGAGAGGAGGCCAAGAGCCACCCCTTCACCTTGGTAACCACACAAGCTCCACCCACTCTCAGCTCGCCCTTACACCTGTCCTCAGTGGGTCTGTGTGTGTTTCAGGTGTACCGGTTCCTGCCCGGCTTCGACTGGTTCTTCCTGGACACCATCAGCGCCAACAGCATCCACTTTGCAAGTGATGAGAAGTATGAATGCTCAGATCCACTTCCTGTTCATGTAAAAGATTTATCCTGGTGACTGTGAGGAACCGGGCGGTAAAGTAGGTCCTTAGCTCAAATTAGACCTTTGGATTAGAATTGGATTCGGGCCTAAAAAATCCAACCCGGCCCGAACCTGTATGATTTTTTTCTGAGCCCGATCTGGAACAGACCGATTCACTATGATTACAGGCCCGAATCTGAAAGAAACTCAACTTTTTTTAATTAAGCTTTTACTCCTTTTGTAAGCAAATCAGTTTGACATGATATAAAAACATATTTCAAAGAAAGGAAGATATAAGATTTCTTGTTTATTAACTTTTTTTAAATAATTTCCCTTTGGGATTAATAGTTTTTTTTTTGAAGAGTCAGCGGATTATTATAGTTATTATAATATTATAGTTATTATAATATAGTTATTATAGTTATTATAATATGATAGTTATTATAATATAGTTATTATAATATGATAGTCATTATAGTTATTATAATATGATAGTTATAGTTATTATATTATAATTATTATGATACTTATAGTTATTATAATATTATAGTTGTATCTATTATAATATTATAGATATTATTATATTATAGTTATTATATTATAGTTATTATTGTTATTATAATATAGTTATGTTATTTTAATATTATAGTTATTATGATATTATAGTTATTATAATTGTTGTAGCTATTATAATATTATATATATTATATTGTAGTTATTATAATATTATAGTTATTAAGGGTCAGCAGACGTGTGCGGCTGATGATCCAAATTGGGTCGTCGGCCGCACGCGTCCGCTGACGTAGCAGCTGACGTAGCAGCTGACGTAGCAGCTGACGTAGCAGCTGACGCAGCGGCTGAGTCCAGTTGGGCTTGGATGGATCACTGGCAGTGGTCCAGCTGAAGCTTAACTGAATTGTTTTAACCTCCTTCAACCGCCCAGTCGCACACGGCTGGTGATCCAAATTGGGTCGTCGGCCACATGCGTCCACATTCATAAGCCAGACACCAACCCAGCCCACCCATCTAGCACATTATTTTGGCCCGGCTGGGCACAGATTGGGGTTATAAATGACAGCTGTACGTTGGATCAGAATGTTGGTAATTAGAGCAGCTGACCAGTTAAACCCACCCTTCACAGGTTACACCTGGAGACAGTAATCCATGCCTTTGTCTCCACCTGTTGGATTACTATAGCACCTTTTTCTGGGGGTCAGTGGGTCCTCCATTGCCCGACTGCAGAAATTCAAAATGCTGCTGTGACTTTCAACTGCTGCATGTCAACATGATCACTTCTCCTCATTCTGTCCTCACTCCACTTGTTGCCCATGCATTTTAGGATCAATTAAAAAATTCTTTAATTCACTTTTAAATCTTTGAATGGCCTTGCCTCAACCTACAGCTCCTTCTGAGTGGTCTAAAAATGAAGTGCAAACTTAGGATGGTCATGGTTTGCTGCAGCAGCTTCCTCTTCACATTAGACCAACTTCTTCACTTGTCTTCTTAAATGGATCTCCAACTCCCTGCACATACCGGCCTTAATGTTATTTTATCTCACTAAAAGTTGTTGTTTGTGACCTGAAAACTCATAATTACCTTTAAATATATAGTGTATATGTTTATCACATTATTTACCTAAGGACTTGCCATTATTTTACCAGAGCAATGCATTCTGGGGTGATGACTTGCATCTGTTGTAGTGGATACTAAAATACAAGATGTCAATGCTCAAAAGTTATAACATGTGACAATAATCCAAGAAAGTTAAGTCAGGTCCTCTGGACTTCAGAACCGGTGTTAGTTTATGTGTGAACAGTACGAGCTAATGTAGTTCCTCTGAGCAATGTGGATTTAATTTAAACATGTAGGAACACCACCTGTCAGAGCTCAGACAGACAATATAATCATACCACTGCCTGCTGAGGATGAGGGATGGAGGACGAGCTGAAGAAGGGGCTGCAGATTATACTTCTACTAGCAGATTTAGCTACTTCACTGACTCGGTTCTTCTGACGGTGAAACGATGAACAACCTGAAAAGCTCTGAGGTTTATTAATATCTACACAATAACAAGGTCTGTTGTGTTTTGTTAAAAGAGGTGGGACACAATCTTATTTCCCTTAAAGCAGACAGAGTCCAGCCAAAGCCTTAAAGTCCTCCATCACTGAGCTTGGGTTAACTGCAGAGAAAATGTTAATACTGAAGACGAACAAATACTATAAAGCTGTGACCTCCATACACTTGAAATCAAACCTGATGTTCTCGTCACTGTTTTCAATCCTTCTGAGGATCCGGTGTCTCTTCTCCAGTGGTTTATTGTCGTCCAGACACAAAGTAGGATGCAGGTTTTCCTCCGTCGGCCGTTTGGCAACAAAGTGAAATGAGCACACAGACAGCTGGGTGGTCTCTTCTAGGTCAAATTTTTCAGCCACATTCATCTTAATTCCTCATCTGTAGGGAGGAGATGAAACTACCACTTTTCACAGGAACACTCTTTGTTTTGCGTCCGTGTTTAAAACTTTGTTGTTGAAGCCACTGATTTAGTTTGGTCTGATTGTTCTGCAGCCATGAACACAACAGGTCCCTGAACTCAGCACGACTATTGAGTAAACTTTATTGTTGTTAAATAAATGTAAACAAATCAAAAACAGCACTTTATCTGCTAAACTGAATGCAAATTACTTTAAAATAAACCACGGTCTGTGCTCCACTACCATGGTTAACCAATGCTTTCTGCTACTTCCTGTGTCTGACAGGAAGTTGTACACGTAATCATTTATACAGTAGAGCTCCTAGGAATAAGGTGGATAAGCTCTGAAGCTAATATCATATATATTAGCTCTGTAGCTAACATGAAAGCTTAGTCATTTATCTATTCTCTCTATCAACACACTCCAGTTCAAAAGAGGTGAACATCAGATAATGTCCAAAATTAACATTCACGCTTATGGAGCTTGCACCGGAGCAACTTGTCTACATTATTTACCCAGAATGCATTGCAGTGTAAATAAAATGGTGACATCTATGTGTAGCACTATAGAAATATACCTGGCTGGAGAAATGTCACTTCCTGGTAAATGAGGTAGGCGGAGTATAAAAGGAGGTGGTAATGCTCATTCTGGCACCTGGTTTCCTGCTGCTCCCACTACAGGTCCTTCTAAAAAAATTAGCATATTGTGATAAAGGTCATTATTTTCCATAATGTATTGATAAAAATGAAACTTTCATATATTTCAGATTCATTGCACACCAACTGAAATATTTCAGGTCTTTAATTGTTTTAATACTGATGATTATGGCATACAGCTCATGAAAACCCAAAATGCGTGTCCCAAAAAATTAGCATATCATGAAAAGATTCTCTAAACAAGCTATTAACCTAACCATCTGAATCAACGACGTAACTCTAAACACCTGCAAAAGATTCCTGAGGCTTTTAAAAACTCCCAGCCTTGTTCATTACTCAAAACCGCAATCATGGGTAAGACTGCCGATCTGACTGCTGTCCAGAAGGCCATCATTGACACCCTCAAGCAAGAGGGTAAGACACAGAAAGAAATTGCTGAACGAATAGGCTGTTCCCAGAGTGCTGTATCAAGGCACCTCAGTGGGAAGTCTGTGGGAAGGGAAAAGTGTGGCAGAAAACGCTGCACAATGAGAAGAGGTGACCGGACCCTGAGGAGGATTGTGGAGAAGGGCCGATTCCAGACCTTGGGGGACCTGCGGAAGCAGTGGACTGAGTCTGGAGTAGAAACATCCAGAGCCACCGTGCACAGGCGTGTGCAGGAAATGGGCTACAGGTGCCGCATTCCCCAGGTCAAGCCACTTTTGAACCAGAAACAGCGGCAGAAGCGCCTGACCTGGGCTACAGAGAAGCAGCACTGGACTGTTGCTCAGTGGTCCAAAGTACTTTTTTCGGATGAAAACAAATTTTGCATGTCATTCGGAAATCAAGGTGCCAGAGTCTGGAGGAAGACTGGGGAGAAGGAAATGCCAAAATTCCAGAAGTCCAGTGTGAAGCACCCACAGTCAGTGATGGTCTGGGGTGTCATGTCAGCTGCTGGTGTTGGTCCACTGTGTTTTATCAAGGGCAGGGTCAATGCAGCTAGCTATCAGGAGATTTTGGAGCACTTCATGCTTCCATCTGCTGAAAAGCTTTATGGGGATGAAGATTTCATTTTTCAGCACGACCTGGCACCTGCTCAGTGCCAAAACCACTGGTAAATGGTTTACTGACCATGGTATTACTGTGCTCAATTGGCCTGCCAACTCTCCTGACCTGAACCCCATAGAGAACCTGAGGGATATTGTGAAGAGAAAGTTGAGAGACGCAAGACCCAACACTCTGGATGAGCTTAAGGCCGCTATCGAAGCATCCTGGGCCTCCATAACACCTCAGCAGTGCCACAGGCTGACTGCCTCCATGCCACGCCGCATTGAAGCAGTCATTCATGCAAAAGGATTCCCGACCAAGTATTGAGTGCATAACTGAACATGATTATTTGAAGGTTGGCGTTTTTTGTATTAAAAACACTTGTCTTTCATTGGTGGGATGAAATATGCTAATTTTTTGGGACAGGCATTCTGGGTTTTCATGAGCTGTATGCCATAATCATCAGTATTAAAACAATTAAAGACCTGAAATATTTCAGTTGGTGTGCATTGAATCTGAAATATATGAAAGTTTCATTTTTATCATTACATTATGGAAAATAATGACCTTCATCACAATATGCTAATTTTTTGAGAAGGACCTGTATATGGGTGCAACCCTTGAGGGATTTGGTTGCAGCTGAGCAGCCGATCGTGTTGTGTGTGCTGTTATGGTCTTCCTGGGGCAGGTGTCCTCTGTTGTTGCACTATAGTTGATCTTTATAGAGTGCTCATGTTAGTGTGAACGCCAAGCTTGCTGCTTTCCTCCTCCCATGTGTTTGAGTCTGCATGTGTGTGTGTCAGCAGGTGAGTAGTTGAGTCCCAACTCTCA